CAGTTGCTTGCTTGTTTCTGGGATTTTCAAGAAGGAGGAGCTGAGGTGCAAAGAATTAGTAGTACTTGATTTTGCCTGAATAATAGACTGAAGGTGCACCTGGAAACATCCTCACATATGGACGTGCACGGTTTGTCTGCCCCCCTGGTTCCCTAAATGGCTTAAATTTGGCTAAAAAGAAAGATGATGTTAAATTCTCATCCCTCTTCAATCGTTAGTGAAACTTTCCTTGTTGCCCAAAACCAGCCCTTGATTTAAGGAGCGAGAACAGCAATAAGTCTGTATTGCAACTTCTACCAGAACTGCTGCCAGTGGTTCTGCTGACACCAATCTCCTGCTAATAAAAAGAAGCTGAGAAACTTTGTAGTCGCCAACCTTCCCTAGAGGTTTGCACAGTGTGTGTTAATGATACTGCAGGCAAACAAACCATTTTGTTATGTTGGTGTCCAGGTTCTCTTGCATGACTGTTGCGTTTCATTTTCAGATACAATGGCCGCACCTCTTCAGGCACAAAATAGAAAGCATTTCTTTCAATAAATAGTGTTGATAACATTGAAAAATTTCTCCTCTTGCAAGAGGAAGGAGTGGGGAGGGCATTTTGAGGTGGAATGCTCAGCTAATGTAGAAGCTTAACTTATAAATGTGCTTTACTTATCACCAATTCGTGTTTACATTAAACTTTTTTTTTGTTGTGACTTCTCACGCAGGGGTATATTGGCTGTTGCATGGAGCCTGGCTGATTCGGAGCTACTACTTAGCTGTGGGAAGGATGCTAAAATTCTCTGCTCCAACCCTAACACAGGCGAGGTATTGTACACACACACCACTTAAAAATCTCTCTGTTCAGAGAGGGCACAATGGCATATGCAAAGCAGGTGTTGGTGTGCCTGCATTCCTTGGAATTATACTTCTGTGGGGTGTTTCTCCCTATCCTGTGTACTTGTGTTTGGTGTATGTGCTTTCTGAGCTTGTTCTGGTGGTGCAGGATTCCTTTCTAGTATTGCTGATGTTGCGTGTTTGTCCTTGCTGCCTCTCTCCAGCTAAGTAGGAAGGTCCCTGCTCATTGTAAGAGGCAGAAATGGCCCCACTTAAACAGGAATTTGCTTCCTACTCTTTTGGTTCAGGCCTTATGTGCCTGGATTACTGTTGCAAATGCCTTTTTCATTCTGTAAGAACATTTATTCAGACCAGAGGGATTTTGTAGGTTACTACAATAGTGGCAGATCAGTGAGAACCACTTGCGTGTGTTCCCACTCAGCCTTTTTGGGCTTGGGGATACCTTTCAAAGGGGATGCAGACTCTTCATACCACTTTAGTGTTTGCCCCCAGTCCACAGGAAGGGCTTCAGGCATGCTGGAGGGCTCCTTACCTGCAGCAAGCAAATAATCCTGGAGGACAGAGAGAAATGTTTCTCATAGAATCACTAAGGTTGGAAAAGACCTCAAGGATCATCAAGTCCAACCGTCAACCCAACCCTACCCAACCCACTAACCCATGTCCCCAAAGCACCACATCTCCACGTTTCTTGAACCCCTCCAGGGATGGTGCCTCCACCACTGCTAATGCCTCATCACTCTTGCAGTGAAGACATTTTTTCTAATCTCCAGCCTAAACCTCCCCTGGTGCAACTTGAGGCTGTTTCCTGTTGCATTAAGAAGTACAAGTCACTTAAGAGAGCTTACGATTTGTTTCTGTAAAGTAAAACCTGGTTTTATTTTTGTGCATCCAACTTCTATATTCAGCTTTTTTTTTTTTTTGCTAAAATTCAGACATTGGCCCAAAAGTGCAAAAGCTGTGGGGTGGTAAATGAGTTATCTGAGCTGGATCCTGTGCTGTTAGGAAGCTTTACATTTGGATGAATCATACTACATATTTTTAATAAAAGTAAAAAACAGTTTCCTGGGAGACAGAGAGACAGCATTCTGCTCTTTGGGTAGAAATTTGGGTGACAAGTAAAGGAGAGTTTCTCCCAGTTTATGGTTAAATGTCTGCTGCTGTGGTGGGCTTGTCTGTTCCAGGGCAGGAGAGGTTAGCTGCCCCAAGTGCAGGTTTTAACTTCCAATTTTCCTGCAAAAACAGACTGACTTTGGAGCCTGGGCATGTCTCCACGTAGTATGTAGAGATATCCAGATAAGCTCTGAATCAGCTAGCACGAATACCAGCAGCAACGCACAGCTTGCGGTGGAGCAGGTCGATAGCTGCACGTGCAGCACAGACATACCCTGCCCGCATAGTTTGTGCTGTGTGGATTGAACAGAAGATGTAATGGGAGGAGAAGGAAATGAAGCAGTGGGGTGTGGTCATCTCCTGTTTGACGACTGGGCTACTGCTAGTGTGTATGGTGACATGGAGGCTGCTGGGGACCAAGAAAAGCAGACTGGTCTCGGGGCAGGCAGAACTGCTGCTGTTGGATGTGGTGTCTCGTAAAAGCCCTGATTTGTTGGACTTGGTTTTGCTGCCCAGGTGCTGTATGAGTTGCCGACAAACACACAGTGGTGCTTTGATATCCAGTGGTGTCCCAGGAACCCCGCTGTCTTGTCTGCGGCCTCATTTGATGGGCGAATCAGCATTTACTCCATCATGGGAGGCAGCGTGGAAGGCTTGAGACAGAAGCAAGTTGACCAGGTATTGAGAAATATTCAGCTAAGAATATGGACAGAAAGAAGGGGGGGGGCGGGAAACACGGGCTCATGGGAAGTCTTCAGTGGCTGTCTGCCACCCTGCTTGCAGGAGTGCCAATCTGGTGCAAATAAATACTTATGTTTAGTTTATTGGAGATATGTCATTTTTGTTTTTTCCCCCTTTTGTTGTTGAAGCTTTCATCCTCTTTTGGGAACCTCGATCCATTTGGCACGGGACAACCTCTCCTGCCCCTGCAGCTGCCCCAGCAGACTGCCCCACAGAGTGTCATTTTGCCCCTAAAGAAACCACCCAAATGGATCCGGCGACCTGTAGGAGCATCGTTCTCGGTAAGCAGGAGCCAAGACTGGGCATGGTTGGCCAGGCGGGGAGGGAGACAGTGGTAGCACTTGCAAAACACTTGACAAAGAGGGGAGTTCAGTGTTGTACTGCACCTTGGGGCAACTTCCCTGTTTGGTCGTGGTGGTGGGAGATGCTTGCAGCAGCTTCCAGACTGGGCACTTGGGACCGCAAGCCAGCAAAATGTAACTAAAAAAATGCTTGAGAAAAAGAAACAAGTATTGCGTTGTCAACAGTCATTTGTTTCTTTCTGCTTTGGGACTGGGGCTTTGCTTTTATTTTTAAGTGCAGTGCTTATTTTGGAGTAAATATACATTGGAAGGGAGACAACAGGACCAAACTGGGCAAGAATCTGAGACTTGAGTGCAGTTTGAAGCTGTTAGTGAGTCAGTGTGGTAGAGAATACCCAGGTTAGCTCTGAGCAGGGTAGCAGGGGTCGTTGTAGCAGCATGCAGGACTAGGCTCCTCCGTGACTTGTAGAGGAGCCAGGCAAGGCCTTGCCTTTTGTGAGAGCAGTCACCTGCTCTTTGACTCCACCTTTGGCTTATTTTCTAGACCCACAGACCATTTCTTAAAGATACCCCGAAGATTTTAGCCTGCCCACTTGAAAGGGGTTTCTTTGCCAGAATACTGCTCAATTTTCAGCATCGTGTGCCTGCTTATTTACTATCTGATGCATAAATTAAATGCAATTTTCTCCCCAAAGCAAAGTGATGTTGCCATGTGTCACTTTATAATGCTGTTTATTCTTTTACTCATTCTGGTCTTCCAAGAGCCAGCTGTCAGCCTTTTTCTTGGCTAGGCTTTTTGCTTTTTGTAGTGCTGGCTTTGTCATTTATTGGGCTGGCGTGTGTAAATGGACTTTGAGCTATAGAATGAAAATGTTATAAGAACCCTCTTAATTTTTTTTTCTTCTGTTGGTTTTGCTTCTCTCCAAATGATAACATAATTTATTGCCCATCTCTCAGCTGGCTTTTAACTGGTAAACAGCCTGCCAAGAGCAGGGCACACATCACACTTGAGCATTTCTTTAATGATGTGTAAGATTCTTCGGTAATTACATTGCAATATCATGAGATATTCCCTGTATGCTGGGCACTGTACAGACCCACAGCCCCAGTTCTCAGTTTCTGGTCAGTCTCTTGCCTGAGAAAAAACAGGTACAGGAGTAGCTGTGCTCATAAATCTTATTAAATATGCACCCACTTACCAGCAAGCTCCTTACATGCTTAGAAACATGGGGTGGTAGGAAAAAAAAATCTGAGTTCATATCAGGAATATTTGTCCTTTGGGTGATAAGCATATGTATGCTATATAAAATCATCTACATACATATAGATATGCACATTTTCATATACACACCAGTGTGTACTCGCATTTTTACATCCTGCATGTGTGTCTCAATTCCAGTTTGGAGGCAAGCTGGTTTCATTTGAGAATGCCAAGCCTCAGCAGCAGCCAGGCATTGAGCAGCAACAGCAGCAGCGTCACCATGTCTACGTGAGCCAGGTTGTTACAGAGAAGGAGTTCCTGGCCCGCTCAAACCAGCTGCAGGAGGCCATGCAGTCTGAAGGCTTTGTCAGCTTCTGCCAGAAGAAAATCGACACGGCCCAGGCTGACTTTGAGAAAAATGTGTGGGCCTTCTTAAAGGTAACAGGGCGACAGCAGTTCAGGAGTTGTCCCCACTGACCTGGAAAGCCAGTGCAGAAATGGTTCCTTCTGTACGATATGGTGTTTTAGCAGAAGACATGCTGGGAACCGAAAGTGTGGGCTGTGGGAATGGTGCCTGTAAACCCTTGTGTTGGAGGTGGCCTGCCAGGAGAGAGAGGGTCCCTCAGGGCCAGGGGTGTTGGCAGGGTTTATGAGAAATTGTGACAGAAGCCAGGTCTTGGGGGAAGATATCCTGTGGTTTTTGTCATCCCCCATCAGTACATCTTTGTCCAGGGAGTTGGTGGTAAGAAGGGATAAAGTTTTGGGGCAGCTTTAGATGTGCTTTTCACTGCTCACTATGAACACGTAGAGGTTTCCAAGTGAAGCAGATAAGCAGACTGTTCACCTGCAGTAACCAGATTAAAACCTTGCCTACCTGCTCAGGTGCACAGGTCACTGAAGACCTTTTCATTTCTCTTTTTTTATTGCACTCAGTCTCCACAGTCACCAGCTCTCACTGGGCAGTTTGTGCCAGTCAAGTGAAAAACCAGTAAAGGTGAAAATGAGAAATTGTGAATTGTAATATATTCCTTTTGACTTCTGTTTTTTGAAGGTGAACTTTGAAGAAGATTCACGTGTCAAATACCTTGAGCTCTTGGGATACAAGAAAGATGATCTGAGGAAGAAGGTAAACATGCCTGGAAGCTGTGCTTGTGTTAAATGCTTTGCTGATGGATATATCTGCAGAGTTGGTGACCACGCCACGTATGGTTGAAGTACTCATTTACCTGTGTAACCAGACGAGCAATGACCAGTATCCACAGGCTATTCAGTACTATAATACAACATTATTTTCAGTGTATTTTCAAGCAGATAGTATTTGCCAGTGCTGCAGCTTTTCTAATCACCATAATACAACTGTGGCTGACTTGAATATTTGTGTTAAGGCATTGCTTTGTTCCAAAGGACGCTAGAAATCTTTCTCTGCTCTTTAAATTTTGTCTAGATAAACAACCCGTGAGTAACTTCAAAATTCTTAGAGCAAGCAGTTTGCATTGTTGGGTTTTTTATTAGCTTTGTCATCTTCTTGCATTTGAATGTTCAATGAACATTTCAAAGCAGGCAACAGACTTCAGGTGCTTGTCTGCATCTGACTGATTCAATGGATTTGAATGTTTTGACTCATTTTCATTGTATCAAATGTTTTCTTTTCAAAGAGTGACATCATAAAACCGTCATTATGGTTATGAATTAAATGGCCTCAGGGGCAAATTTATTATGACTGCAGACAAAATCATGTTTTTGCTAACAGTCTGTCCTCAGCTTCTCAATTTTTGTTGCATGAGTCAAATGCAAGCACAACAAGGGAAATGCTGGTTTTTAAAAAGCAGATCACAATTAGAAAATCCAGATGAGCTTAGTGGTGGTCCTGCCGAGCGGCCTCACACACACTGGAGCCCGCTGCCGCTGTTGATCTGCCCCGTGCACGGGAAGAAGCTGGGAAGATGGACGTAGCTGAACTGAGCGGCCTGAAACGCTGGCCCTACCCCATTATTTCAGTATTTGAGGAATAGATGAGAGGAGCTTTGAAGCCATGTTCTCACGTAGCTGTTTCTCAGCAAAGCAGTCCATGCTGAAGTTGAATCTGTTTTCTAGCGTCAAGAAATAACACAGGATGGCTTGTGTGAAAATCTGTGAAAACCAGATGGTAAATTCACTAAACCACAACTTGTTTTTCATGTAGTGTAAGAAAAGTAGAAAAGGGTCCCAGATTCCAGCTTCTTGGAATAAGCTTTTAAGAACTGGTAGTTTGTTTTTGTCTTCTTAAAACCTGTGATTCTGGTATGCGAGTCAAAGTCCTGGATTTCTCCTTTCTATTGTAAACTAATGTTTAAAAAAGAATGAGAAAACCACCTCCAGCAATTTGAGCTGAGCTTTCTGTGAAAACCAGCCTACAAGGGTAAAATGAAATCTCCAATACTAAAAGCAGTAGATGATATTAGCAGCGTTATGAAATCCAGGCTCACAGATGCCAAACTAATATTTTCTGCATGTACTCTAAAATCTGTACATTAAATTGGCATATTGATGGCCCTAATTGAATCTGGAGTCATGATTTGCAGTAAAAGCTGGGCATTTTAATTCTTCCATAACTTGGAAAATCCTAGCCCACAGCCATATGCCTGCTGTTCTTGAAACCACAGCTTCCTGACAGGCTCCCTGCTGCACCAGGATTGTCACAGCTTTGTTTTCCCTAACCAGTGCACGCAGAGGGTTTTGTCCTGCATACTCTGATACTATTTTTATTACCATGGTTTCCAGCAGCTCTGGTGAGGTTTGAAGCCCTTAAGTTAACAATTAAAGGTCTAAAGGCATAAAGCAGCTGTTGTTTCCATCAGAGCTTGGTGTGCAGAGGGCTTAGCGGTAAATCCATTGCCGGGCTGGGAAAGGAAATGGCTTTAGTTTCACGTTAACCGTTCTGCAAGCAGCGTGTTAGCTGGTGTTTGCCAGTTTTGCAATCTGAGAAATCAGTGAGAGATCTGCATCTCTAAAATAAAAGGGCACGCACTTAACAAGTCTTGGTTGTTTTCTAGATTACATCCACTCTAAATAGACAGAGTCTTGCACGTGGTGATGCAGGAGAGGTAAGCAAACACATGGACAACTCTGCATTTAGATTTACAATGCCATGGGTAATGTGCAAAGTAAGAATTTTTCTTTCCGCGTAGTAGCTGTCCCAAAATAAGTAAACTGGTTTCATAGAATCATGTAATAGTTTGGGCTGGAGAAAGACCTTTAAAGGTCATCCAGTCCAACCCCCCTGCACTGAGCAGCGACACCTTCCACTAGCCCAGGTTGCCCAGAGCCCCATCCAACCTGACCTTGAATGTTTCCAGGGACGGGGCATCTCCCACCTCCCTGGGCAGCCTGGGCCAGTGTTTCACCACCCTCATTGTAAAAATTGGAAAAAAAATTGTAAAAAATGTTTTCCTTATATAAAGGCTGAATCTCTTAGTTTAAAACTGTTACCCCTTGTCCTATTGCTACAGCCCCTACTAAAAAGTCTGTCCCCATCTTTCTCATAAGCCCTCTTTTAAGTATTGAAAGGCTGCAATAAGGTCTCCTTGGAGCCTTCTCCAGGCTGAACAATTCCAACTCTCTCAGCCTGTCCTCATAGGAGAGGTGTTCCATCCTTCTGATCATTTTTGTGGCCCTCCTCTGGACCTGCTCCAACAGGTCCATGTCCTTCTAGTACTGAGGACTACAGAGCTGGATGCAAGTGCAGCTTTAAAAGCAGTGGGATTGAGAGTATGGTCCCATAACGCTTCCCTGCAAGAGTGGTTATTTGTCAGTCCAGGCGTGGCCCATTGTAATCACAGTGGCCTAAGTCCACAAAGGGAACTTTGTGTTGCTCCTGTTCCAATGTCATCTGTAGTTGCCTAAAGGGAAAGAAAAGTTTTGCTCTCCGTTTTCAGGCATCTACGATGAAAACAGCCCAAGGTTCTGGGTAATGACAAAGAGCAAGGAAATGGAGGGCCTCTGCCGCGGTTGTTGTACTCAGCACATGTATTGCCAATGCAGATCTGTGCTTTGCACTCTGGTTCTGGCTGGTGTTGGTGGGAAGGTGGTTGTAATCTTCAGTGCAAAGTGTTTCTTCCTCTTCTGCTGGCTCTTCTTGCTTTATGGCATCTTTTCTCCGCTGAAGGCTCCTGCAGAATCTGATGAATCTGTGCCGAACGAGGGGGATGAAGGCCAGACCACAGAGGAGCAGTTCTTGGGAGAGGTACCTGTTGCCTTCTAAACTAACCCTGTTTACCTCCTGTGTATTTACTTTGTTAAAGTTAACAGCATTCCATTTTGTTGGCTTTTCCTAGCACTGAGGATATATAGAAATTGAAGAAGTTAGTTAGAACAGTAATGGGTTCTTGTTAAGTTGCTTGACATTTTTTCCATCAGCCTGAGCCATCATGTGGATAGATTCTTGCAGCAATGAAGAACAAGCTTGTTTTGTAACACTCCAGCTTGGCAGCAGACCCAAGGACTTTCTTCTGCCACAGTTTTCACTCTGACATTTACCTAACACAAACTAAATGATCTGCTGCCACAATTCTAACTCTTTCCTCATTTCCTCTTTCCTCATTCCTTTCTTCCCTCCCTCTGGTTGATGATTACTGAGCTGTCAGCTAGTTACTCCCCTGTTTCTATGTAGAACCCTTTGCAGAGGTGCAGCTGTGATACTGGAGGAGTGGGGAAACGTTCATTCCCTGCATCGCTTCCACTGGCAGCGCGATGATGTCCGTCCCCTTTGCACCTGAACAGCAAGCATTGGGGCTTTGGTAGCTAGCTGCTTTCAGAAAGTCTGTTGCGACACTTCAGCCAGGTTTATCACAAGCAGTTTGTGCTCTACATCTGCCTTTGGGATCCTACAACTTTTTGTTCATTTCTGCCCATTTGAGCAGCATTGTTTTCAGCCTGTGTTTCAAATGTGGGGCCAGGTCCCTAAGTTAAAGTAAGGACCCAACCTCTGCCATGGGAGGTTCATCACACTGACAATACCAGCGTCGCTGCATAAACAGGACAGCTTCATTCCTCACTGTTCCTTCAGTGTCCCTTTGGGTTAGAATTTGAGCTTTTAGCCCCAAAACTACTTATGGTCCCTGTGCTAAAACCTGTGTTTGGTGCCTGTCTGCTGTTGCCTGTGAAGATCAGGGAGTGGTTTATGCACGTTGGAGCAGCGCGCTTGCTGACTCCATAGCCTTCGGTTAAGAGCTTTATTGCTTCTGAATTTGTTCCTTGCTGTAGAGGCAGACGGGTATCTGACTGCATAAGGATTTTGCTCTATGCAATTATGAAGATATTAGATGTCTCCTAACAGGCTGGGTGGTAAATATTTGCGAGGATGGTCTGAAGCCACTGATGATAATTTTGGGGAGTGCTGTCACACATTATTCCTGTGACAGTCTCAACAGGCTCTCAACTGATGCCAAACGTAGATGGTGCATCATCTGACAGCAGAAGAACTTTCCAGACACTTCCTCCTTTCATGAGCCAAACATAAACCTTGTTTCAGACTTACCTTCCTGTCCCAAATGCCTGTTCTTGGTTGACTCTGTACCTGTCCTTCACCCTCTGAAGTACAGTTTCACTGACCAGCATATAAGCAGGGTGTTCTCAGCAGACTCTGGAACTCCCACTGGCTTGTGACAGGGGAGGCAGTATGTGGGACAGAAGGCTGTGCTGTGAAAATGGATAGTGGAGAGAGATTTCCCTCTTGGCTTTTTTTTAAAATTGTTGAAAGGTTTTGTTTGAAATCCCAAAATCCAAGTGCTTGCAGGGAATGTTCTCTGTCTTAATTCCTGGGGGAGTTTTATAAAAAAGCAGCTTCTGTCCGCTGAGCACTCGTGTACTGAGTGCAAAGTGCTTAAGGCTCTGTGGACCACTCTGGACTTGTATTAAGCATGTGTTCATGTGTTTTGCTTAATTAAATGAGGGTGTATGCCTAGTGCCGAGTGTTTTGAGGATGAGCTGAAAGTCTGCGTGGAGCAAAGTGAAACCTAGGTTAGCATTATGGTAGATTGTTCGTGGTGGTCGGAGGTGAAAGAGGGAAGGGAGAATGTTTCTGATATTTTGGCTGTGGCTGCTGTTTTGCTTTGAGGGGGTTGTGTATATATATGGGCATCGATGCACGTATGCAAGTCAGTTTGCAGGATCTAGGTACCTGGTTGCTGGTATTTCTGATCTGTAGGTGTGCACACTTATGCTTGTGTAAGCCTTCCCTGGTGGTTAGAAATCTGGGGCTTCCAGTGCTTTTTTTTCTCTTTGCAGTCCGTATAATCCATGTTTTAAAATGGTCCACACTGATCTCTCAGAACAATGATTTTATAATGGTCTTTAACTTCTAATGCAAGAGGCATACTTTTTAAAATGTGTATATATATTCCAATTACTTACATAATCTCAAAAATTGTGCTTTTCCTTTCTCTTAGGGAGTGAAGGACCATAAACAAGAAACTGAAGATTTGGGATCTGCAAAGAAAACATTCAACATCTCTGTTACTGGAGGTAAAAAAAAAAACAACCAAAGAACCTTGATATTTATTTCAATGTATGTGCTGATAGTTATAAATACTGATGTTGATACTGCTGTTCCAGTGAGAAGGCAATTTCTGCACAGATCATGGGGGATTATCATGACTTGCCTCTGTAACTCCATTCGTTGCACACCAGTCTTGAGGCCTTTGAAAATACAGCATCTTTAGGGAGGGAAAGGAATTATACAGCGCTCATATACCCCATTGCTGAAATGCAGCTACTATGAGTGATTTCTGATATAAAAGAACACGTGTCTCATCAGGCATGAAGTGCTAACCTTGCTGTTTGTACAGAAACTCCCGGGGGATCTTGAGTAATGCAGAAACTGTTGACTGTTGACCCCTGTCTAGGTTTGACTTTTTGTGGCGCTGTATGCGGGGTAGTTGTTTCAGAAGTCATTTAGAAAGATGCTACTTATGATATATACCAGCAGCTTGCTCTGCAGCAAGGTAAGTGATGCATGTCAGGGCCCCATGGGATCTGTCTGTAACTGTAGTGTGTTCTGAGACTGGAGATGAACTTGAGCATCCCTGTAAGTACCTGCCTGAAGCAGGCTGGTTTGCAGAGAGGTTTGCGCAGTGTTGTACAGGCGGAGAGAATCACCTGCTGTTGCTTATTTAAGTGACTCTTGTGCCCTCATTTGAAAATGCACTCCTCTCGTTGCAGATGTGGACGGTTTGATCACCCAGGCTTTGCTGACGGGTAACTTTGAGAGCGCAGTAGATCTCTGCTTGCATGATAACCGCATGGCTGACGCCATTATCTTGGCCATCGCAGGGGGACAAGAGCTGCTTTCTAGGACACAGGAAAAGTACTTTGCTAAGATGCAGAGCAAAATTACCAGGGTATGTTTTTTTCAGTTAAGAAACAACCTGCATGTAGGCCTTTGGCAACTCCCTTTTTCACCTTATAAGTTTTCTTGACGTTTCCTAGGTTTATTTCTGTGAGCAGCTAATAGTATTCAAGTCATCCACAAGATCTCAGAGCAGAAGGATTTCTGGTTTTCCTCTTTAGTGCATTTGTAAGGAGAGAAGAGGCAGATATTTTTACAGAACAGTATTACTTACCTTTTCTTCCGTGTCTGAGTTGCATGTACACAAGTAGAGTCTCACTGATAAAGGTACATATCTTAAGCAGCGTGCATTTCAGTCTCTTATCTCATTTTTCAAGGGTCACATGAGACCCATGCTCAGTGCCAGAAGCGTTATGTTAATTTCTGCCTGTCATAACAGATTTTGCCAATGCTTCATTTCACTGAATGCACAGAAGAGAGCTAAGTACGTCCAGGGTAGATCAATCACCCTTTGTCTAGGAGACTGCATGTTATAGCCAGCTGGTTATTATTCTTTTCAGCTTTCTGCAGTGCTAGGAATTGCTGCTGCAAATCTTTCTTCTTTACTAGTGACATGAGAAAGTAGCAGCAGGAGGATGAAACGGGAGAAGAGCCCAGGACAGTTGGTTTGGCAAGGATGGCCGCGTTTAGAAGAGGGGAGGAAGTTGCTTATTGTCACTTTTTAGTAGTCCATTGTCAAAGGAGGGTGTTTTATGCAGTAGCAGGAGGCAGCTGTATGGGCATGTGCTGAAGTGCTTTCCTGGAGCAGGGCTGAGGGCTGCAAAGCACAGTCGCTTGGGGCGTTAGGGCATGCAGCGCCACTGGCCAGGGTCTATAAGCAGAATTTTGCTGGTCATCGCCTGCAATCCAGTTTGATATAGGAACAATTTGCATTTCTAGTAGTGGACAAGTGAAAAGAGGAAAATCTCAAGTATTAAGACTCTGCAAGATTTCTCCCCCCTGCCTCCAGCTCCTTTTCCCACCTTGGCCCTAATCAGAAGAAGGAGCATTTTGTAGTGCATGGGAAATAACCTTCTTCGCTGCAGTTCATCCTTTGGGGAAACATATTTTTATGGAGAGCTGACGAGTTACTTGTGCCTGTGCTTAAGAGTGAGTGTTAACCTTGTAGTTAGGACCTTAAATTTGTTGTTCAGGTTTTGGGTTTTTTTTTCCTCTTCTGGTTTCAAGCTACACACTTAATGCTTGTTCAGCTGTTTCTGAGCTTGAAGTCTTGGCACGACAAGGGCTTTGTTCACTAAATAGCAGCACAGCTTCTAAGTCTGTCTTCTGTCTGAAGCAAAGTAACCAGAGGCAGAGTTTGAGGTGGAAGAAACTGGAATTTCCTTTTGAGGGCCTGGGGACAGGCAGCCTGTGTGCGTGGGTGCAGGGTAGGGATACTGCAGCCAGCTTGTTTCTTCTGTCGAGCAGCCTTTTCAACTGCCCCTCACTGCTCAGCTTCAGGCCAAGAGCTTAAAGTCAAAGGAAACGGTTTGACAAACAAAATTTATACGCCGTGTTGGACATTGTGTGGCAGATTTACAGCTCACTACTTGATATGTTATCTGTGTCTGCAGAAACAATGCTGAAAACCGTCCGCAGCAATCCCAGCTTGCAGGGACTTGTGCGTTCTTTTCTTCCATGTTTTATAGCAAGAATAATTGGCTATCTGAGCTTGTTTTATGATTTTCACTGAGCTCTTTTTAAAGTAAAATAGACTCTTGTGCAGCTTCTGAATTGCAGAGCAGTATCTGCCATGACCCTGGGTACAGTGTGGATGAGTACACTTGAATAGATACAAATTATACTCTGTCCTAAAAAAGAAAGGAAATCCTACTAAGATCTTAACTGTGGTCTATCTCTTTCTGGTCTAGCTCGTCACTGCCGTGGTAACAAAGAACTGGAAGGAGATTGTGCAGTCTTGTGATCTGCAGAATTGGAGAGAGGCTTTGGCTGCTGTGCTCACTTACGCCAGGCCGGATGAGTTTGCAGCCCTCTGCGGTAAGGACACTTTTCAGGCTGGATGCCATTTATTCCACTTGTGGGAAAACTATATTTTACCATTATTTTCTTCCTTCCAGTAAATTACTGTAATGCCTCACTAGCTTTGTTGCGTAAGATAGTTCTTTGGCCCTTTTGGTTCCGGGTCTCTTTTGCTCCGGGTCATCTCGCTCCAGGTGGTCGCTCTCCCAAGGCCTTTCCCCCCACCCCGGTCAGCTCTGGGTCTGGGACGCTCGGACTGTTCTCTCCGTTCCGTGAATGCGATTTCGGGACTCTCCCTGCTCCGGGATCGTTAGCCGGGAACAGGCTGAGCCTTGGTCATGGGGTGGGCGGCAGTGTCACTGTGTGTCACTCATTTGTATATTGGATTATTTTCAATATTATTGTAGTTTAGTTATTAAATTGTCCTTATCTCAACCCACGAGTCCTTTTTTCCCTTTACCCCTTTAATTCTCTCCCCTGTCCTCGGCTGGGGGGCATTGGGTGAGTGGGTGTGTGTGAGTTGGCCCCCAGCCAAGGGCAAACCCATCGCACACCATCTGTGTGTCTGCTGAGCTACAGACTCGTTTCAACACACGTTGGCCCAGAGCACTATCACAGCTTTGTTGCTCCCCGTTCCTTGGCCAGTTGCACACTCAAGTTCTACTCCTGAAATGATGAACTGCAAAAGTGGGTGGCAGAGGGGAGAATCGAGCCCTGGCCTCTCTGTCCTTTGTCATGGCAGCGGATGGGCTGTCCCCTCTGCTGTGTCTGAGGTTTGCAGGCGTTGAACAAGTCCTTGCTGCCGCAGCATTAACTGCCTCTGAAGTGCCCTGACTTCTGTGAGCTAAGCTGTGCTGGCCGCTGGAGTGTGTCACCGGTGGAGCCCAGAGGCAATCTCACTGTGCTGAGCAGAGACACAGCAGGCGTTGCAGGCTTCCCTGACCTTGGCAGTGAGGGAGGGATCACTGAAGTGATTCATCAGCAGCATCTTTTTTCATATTTTTCCTAGATCTCCTGGGTAACAGATTGGAGAGTGAAGGGGACAGCCTTCTGCAGATGCAAGCATGTCTCTGTTATATTTGTGCTGGCAATGTGGAAAAACTGGTTGCTTGTTGGACCAAAGCTCAGGATGGAAACAGCCCCCTGTCCCTTCAGGTTGGTAATTCTGTTAAGAAAGATGTTGGAAGTAACACACTGCCATCATTTGGAGCTTTAATCCAGAGATCTAGTGTAGAGCTTCGCTGTCTGATAGCTTCATGTATCTCAGGATGCAAGCCTTTTTGTTCTGGAATGTGAGACTTTTGTAGAAACAACACATAAATATGATATTGGAAAGTGTTTTGTGAAGCATGATGGCACTGGTGTCTGCTCTGGTCTTTGGGCAGTCCTGCTGGTATGCTTCCTGTGGAAAACTGTAGTTGCAGGCTTTAAAGGGTTTTGGTGAAGAAGGAGCTTTGGATGCTTGCATCTTTTGCAGTAGGGAAATACCTGGACATTTTTGCTTTTGGAAGAGATGGCTTAGATGTTCAGGAGAAGAAATCTAATAAATTTGAGTTAAATCTGGAGAGAAAACTGTAGGAAGACTCTCATGGAGATTTTTCTGTCGGGGGTTGCACATACAAGGTTTGTTTTCCAGCAGTGAAATATATTGCATATAGGAAATATCTTGGGGGAATAGGAGGATTGGTGACAGTGAGATGAAGCAATTATTGAATAATTTATTTCATAGTAAAGCCTTAGTTTCTTCCATCTTTGAAGGACCAGGCTTAGAAAGTACTTAAAGTAACGTTACCTGACGGTGCTGTGAGTCTCTGTTTAGTTAACTGAAGGAACTGGAGTATATGTGAGTTTTACTTCACATTATTATCTCTCTCTGGTTTTGAATTATCAAAATTACTTTCCAGTCTCGATTCTGATGGCATCACTACAGATTTACCTTCATTTGGATTGCATTGCTTTGCTCTCTCTGATATTAAAATTGAAAAATATTGTCAGAGTCATAGTTGGGCTGCTGTTTACTTTGATGTGGAATTGCTGAAACTCAGAAGCTGTTGGTTATCTTGATTTCTTTTTTTAGTTGCTTTTTCTGAAGTACTGATTTGTTGGGAAAAAACACAAATTATTATTGAGCAGTCAGTTAACAGTCCTTACTAGTGCTGAATGTTCAGTACACTCCTGTTAAATCTGTTATAAGAGGGGTTGCATGTTAATATTGACAAGTTAATATTTGCAGTACCTTCCAATGTAATACAGTGAGAATAAGACAAACCTTTGAAAACCGACCAGAAAATATTCCTGTAACTTAGCACTAGGAGGAAACCCAACCAAGCCCAGCTCTGGTATGTGGGGCTGTGCAAGGAAGGCAAGATATGGAGTATTCCTGGGGAATATCAGGAAAACCATCTTTGCAGTAATGACCAGAAAACCATGAGCAACTGTCCCAAGGGAGATGTTAGATCCTTTTGATTAAGATGGTTAAGAACTGCCTGACTAGGGCAGGGATTGTGCCCCTGGACTCGGCCCTGGTGAGGCCGCACCTTGAATCCTGGGGTCAGCTTTGGGCCCCTCCCCACAAGAAGGACATTGAGGGACTGGAGGGGGTCCAGAGAAGGGCAACGGAGCTGGGGAAGGGTCTGGAGCACAGGGCTGACGAGGAGCGGCTGAGGGAGCTGGGGGGGTTCAGTCTGGAGAAGAGGAGGCTGAGAGGAGACCTCATCACTCTCTACAGCTGCCTGAAAGGAGGGTGCAGTGAGGGGGGTGCTGGGCTCTGCTCTAAAGGAACAAGTGATGGGACAAGAGGAAACGGCCTCAAGTTGCACCAGGGGAGGTTTAGGCTGGATATTAGGAAAAATGTCTTCACTGCAAGAGTGATGAGGCATTGGAACAGGCTGCCCAGGGCAGTGGTGGAGTCACCATCCCTGGAGGGGGTCAAGAAACGTGTAGATGTGGTGCTTGGGGACATGGGTTAGTGGGTTGGGTGGTGTTGGGTTGACGGTTGGACTTGATGATCCTTGAGGTCTCTTCCAACCCGAGTGATTCTATGATTCCAATGGTGTGAGAGGAGTCCTGCAGGACTGCCCTGAGGAGCAGCTCTCCACGACAGTCATTAGCCAGGGCCTACTTCACCGCTTTCTGGTTGTTTTTTCGCTTATCTTCCAGGATTTAATAGAGAAAGTTGTGATCCTGCACAAAGCCGTGCAGCTCACCCAGGCTGTGGAGCCTAATGCTGTGGGGTCCCTCTTGGCAGAGAAAATGAGCCAGTACGCCAACCTCCTCGCTGCCCAGGGCAGCATTGCTGCGGCTTTGACCTTCCTCCCTGCAAACACCAACCAGGTACGGGAACTTCAGATTTCCTACTCACTCTCTCCCCAATCAACTTAGTCGGTTGTTTTCTTTGGATTTCCTGTCTTCCATCAGCTGGTGTTCATACACAGGCTGGCTTGGGAATAGTGCAGCCTAAGGTGGGAGGTAGGCACACATAAGGCAGTTCCTGTGGCCCTGTGACTCATGCAGAAAAGACTTACTCTGACCAAATAAAGCAGAAGAGGCTTCTGAGAGAGCACTCATCAGTGTGTGGCCAGCCTGCGTCTCGGTGTGGTGGCAGGCAGTACGCTTAACCTTCCTGTGCTGTCCTTTTCTGATTGCAGCCAAACATCGTGCTGTTAAGGGACAGGCTTTGCAAAGCCCAAGGGGAGCTCCCAGTGGGACAGGAGGCCCTCAGGGCACCACGTGAGAGACAGCCCGTGCCCAAGGGACGAACTGGCCCTGTGGCTGGACACATGCAGGGGCCTCAGGCTCCAGCCCTGCAGTATTACCAACAGGTAAATGGGTTTTGGCAGTCAGGGAGGGATATGTTATTTGGGTTCTGGAGCATGATGGTGGAGTCACCATCCCTGGAGGGCTTCAAGAAATGTGTAGATGTGGTGCTTTGGGACATGGTTTAGTGGGTTGGGTGGGGTTGGGTTGATGGTTGGACTTGATGATCCTTGAGGTCTTTTCCAACTTTAATGATTCTATGATGAATAGAGGACTTTTTTTCCTTTCTCTTTGATCTGAGCTGGGGCTGTATGATGTACCTCTACAGAGAGCCTTGTGGTCAAAATCCCTGGTTCTGCTTCTCAGTCAGTACAGATGCATCCTTTATTCCTCATCTGGAAACATCGCTTAAACACCTTGTCAAGTAGCCTTCATCTGAAGATCAGGTGTTTTCCCCCTTTGACTGAAAATGTGCTTCAGTGCTAAGAATGACTGTGTCAGACTGCACTGCAGGATTTTTCTGTCCTTGCTCTCGTAATTCCTGATGTCATCCCATCCCTGCAGACAGACCTTGGGGCAGCAGTTCTGAGGTTGATAATTTCCCTCCCCAGCTCTGATGCTGGCTGCAGAAGATGCTGAGCAGTAGCGATAGCAAATTGAGGTCATGTTTTGGCAGTTGTGTGTACAGCCTGCTACGTACCTCCCCCGAGCCAGTAAGGGGACACAGACGGCGTGGGCAGGGGGTGGGACTGGAGCGGGGAGGCAGACCTGGGCTGAGAGTGAGCTGTGCCAGAAGACCTGGTGAGTACAGGACTAATAAGGGAGATCAGGGCTGTGCAGGAAGAGAAGTGGGGGAGGCAAATGCCCTGGTTCTCTCTCCGGAGACTGAGAATGACCCTGCATCAGACTACGCTGGCTAGTTGGCAGCCCTGCCTGCGGGCACGCTGGAAGAGCATCGCCAGCTCCCGAGCCCCTCAGCAGAGTGCTGGAGCTCATCTGGCCGTGCTGTACGCAGGGACTCTGGTCTGGGCTTTTTGGAGAGTGTAGCTGTGGATGTTGTCCTTACACAGAGGAGATGGGCACAAGCAGAGGCATGTCTCTGTGAGTGCTTCCCTTCAAGCACTGCCTGACAGAAAAATGAGGAAATGAAAGAAGAGCTGCAAAGTAGGGGGAGTCAGGCTTTGTTCTCTTCTTGCTAACACCGTCGCATATGATTTTAAATGCATCGCTGCCAGTAATTAACTCTGCTGTTGTTTCCTGTGGCTTTAATCTTCCTCCATATAACCAGTGAACTGGCCTGAGAAGCAATGCTGCGTATTTCCCATCGGGCTGTGGAAAATAGCAGCTGGCCCCTAGACGGCATGATCTTGGCAATGCTTTTTAAGGCATGGTTCCCCTTCCTCCTCCTGTCTCAGGAGGACCTCAAGCTTTTATTTAAGCAAGCCGTGCACATGATTAAAAGGCTGGGAGTATCACAAGCCCATGAGCACGCTGCGAGTGAGTTGCCCCCTGTGCTCTTGGCTTTCCAGGGAGCTTATGCTCAGGAGGAAGGGCTTGAAGCAGACAGGTGCTGTGTCAGAGAGGTGTCCAGCGCTATGCTGATGGGCTAGAACAAAGAAATAATACATTTGAGTCTTAGGATACTTGTTTTGTTTGACTTCCTTTTAAGAAAGTGCATACATAGACTTGTTCAAGCTTGATGCAGCTTTTGTTTAATGGCTGTCCCAAATAGGAACATGGACTTAAAACTTGGTTTCCTTTTGGCATAGGTTTTTGAACCCTGTTTTTCATCTGAAAAAAAACAGACATAAAAGGGGATGGAAAAATCTTTTTGATTATTCCAGTGATGAGTTTTGCAGACATTAGCAGCAGTTGTAAGGCTGACTGCACCATTAGCCCAGCACTGTGCAGGCTTAGAGACTTACAGGCTGAAGCAGCCTGAGCCAGCCAGGACCTCAGGGCTGCAGCCTTCCCTCTGCCTGCACTCAGGCGGGATGTTGGGCTCCTGACCCTGGTTGCGCATCCTACTGCTGGGCAGCACTCTCTCTTCTTGCTTAGGGACATTGCAGGCACAGGAGATTCTTGGTTTCTGCCCTGTCGGGAAAGTAGTAGTGGTCGTATGGAGCTGAAGGGCTTTGGAATGGCAAAGAAGGAAAATAAAGGAAAGGAGCTGTGGGAGACCGACTGGGAAGCAATTAGCACTAAGATGTATGTTTGTGCATGTGCAAGAGCTGAATATCAAATTTTAACCCTTTTCGATTCATCTTAAGCTTGATTTAAACAGACTGCTTTTGTGTGAGGCAGTGTGTTTGAATTTAACGTGGAATTTGGGACTTCCCAGGCATGGCGCTGAGCATCACTAACCCACTGTGGTTAGTGATGCTCAACGTCGTGCCTGGGGAGAGCTTCTGCAATAGGAAAATGTGGTGAGAAACGCTTTGTAATAGTATTGTTGTGGCAGACCTGGCTCACTGGCATGTTTAACGCTGCACTTGCTCCACAGCCTGTTGTAGCTGCCTCTCTACCGTGCTTCGTCTTCACTCTGCGATTCACTTTATCTCCTGAACACACTGATTCGTCTGTCTTGAATGCAATCTTCTTTCTTTCTCTGCAATTTTATGGCTGTGTTACAAGTGCCAGCATGCAAACCTTTTTGTGTTCACTTCTTTGTGAAACCCTTTTAGACTTTTTCATTGTTTTGTTTTCCATGATGGGTATTTCTTTGTTCAATTCAGGTTAGAATTGCCCCTACTGTCACTACCTGGAGTAACAAAACTCCTACTGCCCTTCCCAGCCATCCTCCTGCAGGCTGTCCCTCTGACACACAGGTATAACCTTCATTATTCCTCTCTGAGCCCCTGCTCCACCCCGGTATGTCCCCCAGTGCAGTCTGTGTGCTTGACACAGCCTGGTAGAGATAGGCTGACGGAGCAGCTTCCACCTGTGCTCTGGTTTTGCTCCTCTGTGTCTCATGTTACACTTTTTTCACCAACAGAGTGGCTCTGGAAAGCCTTAAGTGGGAGCTTGGTGTGATCTGAGCTGCCCCCAGCCCTTACCCTGCACTGGAATATTTCAAGTGTGATGATGTTTTTCCTTTCTCTCCCGTGGAAATGAGAAGCTTCAGAGTTAACTGCCTTACCATTGCTGACTAAATCCTATCTCCCTCTGCCCTTTTTCCTCCAATCTTTTTTCACAGGGAGACAATCCGCCTCCTCCAGGGTTTATCATGCCAGGTGCTGTTAACCCCAACATGCCACCACAGCAAGCTGCATCTTCCAATTACAGCATGTACTCGCAAGCAGGGGCCCGGCCAACGTACCCACAGAGTGAGTAGCAGCAGCTCCCCCCTCCCTCCCACCCAGGTGATGAGGCTGCATTTACTTGGGAACAGCCAGTCCCTTCCTTGAGCCTGGGAGGGTTCAGACCAAGCCAGTCCCACATTTCTTAGGGGGAGAAAAACTCCTGAGATGACATCTGAGGATTATAATTTCTTGATGGGGTCCAGATGTAAGGCATGGTCAGACACTGTCTCCTCTGCCGAGAAGGTGTCTGCCAGCAGGTCTTGGTCTCGTTGCTCAGCTGGCCCTTTCCAAGGGCATGCCAGGCTCAGAAACCCCCCAGTGTGAGTCCTGGAGGAGCAGCACGGGCCTGGCAAAGAGTGACCCAACTCATCCGTGTGCAGCTGGGCCAATCCAGTCCTCCTTTGGACTCTGTCAAGATGGGAAAGGGGATGAGGAAGAGCCCAGGGCAGTGGTAAGGGTGGATGTGGAAGGGGACAGCACTGGCAGACTCAAAGCAGGGGACTGTAATGTAATGCACTACCTACTGGACCAGCAGGTACTCTACCTGCAACCAGTGACCTTCCTGCATCCCAGAGAACAGATCTGCGCTCCAGACCTGTTCCTCCACCAGGGAGGAAAAAATGGGTGCGGATGGGCAGAGAAGAGACAGTAAAGTTAAGCTGCAGGGCCTGCAGTGAAAGGCTGTGAGCTTGCCTTCAGTTTAAGAGACTGCTGTTCACTTCCTTGGCCTAGGCTTTCCCTATTGGCAAACTTGAGACAGGGGTTTCCCTTCCTTGAGAGGCACCATGAGGATTGCAGTGGTCCAGAAAAAAGCCAGAGCGGCAGTGTCCCTGTTCCCCCAGCCCCACTCTGAGTGGCATGGTGGGTCTGGCCAGGAGAGTCTTGGGCAGAGAACGGGAGTCCTTGCAGCCGAGGCAGTCCTTTCTCTGGCTCTCTGCTCCCAGCGGGAGGCTGGGGTTTTGAGCAGTCCTGCAAGTGCAGGCAGGCTTGTGGGAACCAGGATTTGTCTGGGCAGGTTTGAGGGGGAAGGGGCAGGTGAATAAGGAAGTGGAGGCAGATGAAACCTGCTGCTCTTATGATCTCATTGACTGATTCTATTTTCTCCCTGTTTGTAGCGTATCAGGTCACACAGCAGTACTCTTGCGGAACAGGGGGACCAGCTCTCTGTCAGCCTCAGCAGCCTATCACTGTCCCTGCTTCAGCATCGTACCCGAACCCTGCCCCTAATACCACCCCTCCCTACCTGTCCTCTGCCCCTGTGCACTCCATGCCCTCTCCACTCTACCCCGGGCAGCCTCAACCCTCCCCAACGAGCCTGAATCCCGTCTCTTCCCTCCCTCTTCCTCCTTCTGGTGCATCCTTTCAGCATGGCAGGCCAGGACCTCCAGCACCTTCTGTGGCTTATGCATTACCTACTGGACCAACAGGTACTCTGCCTGCAACCAGTGACCTTCCTGCATCCCAGAGAACAGGTCTGCGCTTGGATGGGGGAGGAAAGGCAGGGAGGGGGTGGCTTTTGTTTTATTACTCACTCAGCTAATACGCATCCTTTCCTTGTGAATGCTCCATATGAAGTTTGCTTGTGCTTAGATGTCAATTCAAAGCATTTCTAAAACACATCATCTTCCTGTGCATCTGGTAATCACACAGCCATGGTGCTGCAGACAGCACTTGCTGAGCAGCATGAGTAGTTGTCTTTCTCTTGGGAGTCAGACCTCATCAGAAACGCAGAGCTTCTGTCTTGCCCAAGGTGTGGTACAACAGCATCGTCTTGTTATGAGGCTGTCGTATACTGTGGATGGATGGTGGCATGTTTTAACCTTGTGAGGCTGGCACCAAAAGCTGCTATGTGGCTGGAGAGCAAAATACAAAAAATGAGCAAATTTTCCTAATCACTGCAGAGGTTATGATGCCAATTCTCCTTGCAGAACAATTCTGCAAATGGAATTTGTCACTGTGTTTGTGAATGGCATTTCAAGCCTGAAATGGGCAGAATATTTAATTCAAACTGCATTTTCTGTGCCATCAGCTCACTTCCATTATTTATTCCCTAACCACTTAGTGCGATGGGATTTACTGTAGCTGTGACTGGCTTAAGAGGTAATCAAAAGTTATTTAGAAACGCTTTTACATGTCTCTTTCCTGAATGTTAATCAAATGCACGTGTGTGTGGCTGACCCATAAGAGCACGTTTGGGCACGCATGGTGAGAGCACGCGCTAAGTGGGGCCCAGTGTCTCCTTGTGACTGCCTGGGCATGACTGGTTTCTGTGGGACGGTGACCTTGCTTGTGATAACAAACTTGTCTTTTCGCTAATAGCCTGGGAAACAACAGCTTTGCATATGTCAGGCTGTGCGGAAGTATGGCCGGTCCTTTTCCAAACCTGGCCATCAACCTACTTCATATCCTGGTGGTCCAGCTGGAGAGTGAAGGACCGGATCCTGGGAGGAGGGAGTGGAGGGAATATTAAGCAGGATTTGAGAGATGTTCCAGGGATGCTGACTCTGCTGGCAGACCTTAAGGACCCCACTGTGACTCCTCCTTTTCTTCTAGAAGTCTGTTAGAGATGATGCAGTGCAGATGCATTGCCTTTGTCTCGGCAGCAGCGGTCCCATGAGGAGGTGTTTCTGGCATCCCTGAGGCTGGGAGCCCATGTCTCCCGTGGCATTGCCTTCACACAAACACTCGTGTTTGGGGGAGAAACGGTCTTTTGTTCTGTCAAAAAAAAAGACAGGAGTGGTGTAGGGCAGCATCTGGGGCTGCAAGGCGGGAAGGGGCCTTTTCCCTTCATCCTGCAGCCAGACTTGGTGTCCTCTCTGTTCTTGGAGATGCCCTACCATTACCTCTCCTGATCCCATCTTATAGGGCATGTCAAACTTGTCTCTAAGCCAGAGAAATTATTGAATTGGGCAGAGGAAGACTTGTCGGATAGGGTTCTAGGCCTGGGATGTGAAGCAGCATGTTATAATGCAGACAGCATAGCTTCAGCACCTTCAAATAAGTGCGAGGAACAAGAAAATTCTTTTTTCTTCTCTGTTTTTCTGCTGTGCTTGCATCACTGGCAGGCACTTCAGATTTGTCACTTGCTAAGTTCCTTGCATTGACAGTGAAGTGACAGTTCATGCAGCATGCTCAGAGTGGATGAACCTCTGCACTCTAGAAGATAGAAATTAGGGACATTGCTGACAATACTGGTCGATTTGTAAAATCATGTAATCCACATAGTCTAAAACATCTTGCCTACGTCACTTTAATCTAAGGGGAATAGAAGCAGCCATTATTAGCATTGCCTTTCCATATTTCCTTTCAAAACTAACAATTGTCCATAGTACGCTTTTTATAAAACTTCCGGATAGCTATCGGTGATGTTTGCATTTTTCCTAGCAGCCATGGTGAGAAGGCAGCCAGTACAGAATGTCAAACCTTCAGGAACTTGGGTGTCATCTGTGATTCCTGGCAAATGCCAGCTTTGGGCAGGGGTAGCCTCCAGGGCACGTGGAGGGGCTGAGCCCGAGGGGCTGGTGCAGGTGGGCTGCTGGCATGCAACCGTTGCCTGCAGCTGGAGAACTATGAAAAAAAGAGAGAGGTATCTGCAGAGTACACTCCATCCTCTTGCAATTTTTAGATTACACCTTTCAAAACCATATAAATAAGAAGGAAATTTGTAAATGCAGAAATGCCAGTGTACGTGCTTAATATGTTTAACCACCAGCATTTTCCAGAGTAGCTGCGTTGCTTGGTGAGGGGCGCCTTGGCATGAGATCCCCTAGGAGCCCAGAAAGCTGCAGCCAGAAGGAGAGGTCACCTCTAACTCGGAATGTTCTGGGGCAGCGTAGCGAGGCTGATCGTGGCTTTGTGTGCTTTTGTGTGTGGGGATGATCTCATCTGACAACGTCATGTTTCATTTTGCAAGTGTGATGCATTAAAAGGCAGAAGGGTAAGGGAAGAAGGAAAGAAAATTTCAGATTTGAAGTCTTGAAAATTACTTTAAAGGTGCACTTAGAGAAGAAACAGTTGTATAAATATCTTCTGATTTTTGCAAATGCATATAGCGTCAGTATGCTAAGCTGTGTAAGAAAGCCCGCGTTTAATTTCATTTTAAACCTGTCTCATCTTGTGATAGATCCTTGAACCTGCTTCCAAGGGAGTGTTAATTTTCAGTCTTGGATCTTGTTTGAAATAGTGCTAAAGCAATTCTGAGCTAAGGGAAGGGTTTGCACCAGAGCTATGAGGGCATCAGACGAACCCCAGGGACAGGAGTAACCTCATTGCTGACGTTCCTCCTCTCTTTGAAATGCTGAAGGCTATATGGGCAGTATTTTGCCATTTGCGTTTGTTGCTCAGTCTGAGCAGGGGATGTGTCTTTCCACATGGGTGTAAAGCTCCTATGTGAGCCTGCCTTTTTTTTTTTTTTTTTTTTTTTTCTGTGCTGGATGCAGTTGAGAGAGCACCTTAATTTGGGAAAATACTTGATGTCCACCTTGAAATCAAGTACTTGGAGTACATCTCCTGAAAAGCTTTTTGGAATGGTGAAATGATGGTGAGAAGATTGTTGCTGTGAGTGATGGTCTGTCGGTTGCACTGGCTGGTAGGAATAGAAAATGAGAACACCAGAAGAGATTAGAAAGTGGGCCAGGACTCTGCAACATGGGTTAGAAACAACTAGAAACACTGATTTACTGCATGGGAAGAGCAACAGGCTTGTTTTTGGGAAAAGCAGATCAAAGCAATTCCACAGGGTGGTTTGGACAAAGGACTTGTCTCTAAATTGGCATTTTAATTAGGTGAGGCTTTTTTTTTCTCCTGATTTATTGTGCTGATTGGAACTAAACTGCTAATCAAAAAAATAGTTTTTTTAGTTTTCTTTGCATTTTATCTGCAGAAAGCCTACCAGCTCAAGACCAGACCTCTCCCTTGGCAGGTGAACTAGGTACCACCTAACCTGAAAACAATTACAGCCGCTACATGAAATTAATTGAGCAGATATCAATAATGCATATGTTTGTCAGAGACCATGAAGTGCAATGCTTTTTGCTGATTACATTTTAATCAAATAAATTTGCCATTCCTTAATTAAAACCAATAACAACATATCTGGAGTTTTTAACCACAGAAACAAATACTCATTTTCCTTTTTTAAAGCAAATTATTGCAGGAAACTAACAGCAGTAACAGTCCGGGAGGTTTCCTTGGTGTGTTACCACCATCAGCACTGCAGAAGTTACACTGGGAAGGAATTTTCTGGATGAGGGGCAGAGGAGCCCCTGGGGCACATGGCTTTTGGGAATGGCACTCCCTTTGGTTAAAAAGAAATCAGATGTGAGAGAGGTTTAGAATTGTTTTTCGTTTACCCCTTTAACATGCTCTGGATGTGGAACTTGTTTAACAAAAGCTCAGGGGGGCAAATGAAATTTCACAGAAATTGAGCAAAATCTGCAGTGACATTAAGCTCTGCTGTCTAAGGTGAATTTATCATCTGCGAAGCGAGAAACAATGTGGTGAAAAAGTCCATTGAGCGGGGATTTGGTTTTGTTGGCTTTTTGTGGCTTTGGGCAGTAAATCCCAATTATTCGGCGAGGCCACGGTAATGCTGAGGTATAATGCTGTGGTGCCAGTGACACCGCTGCGATGAGATTGGAACCATTCCTAACGCATTCATGTGAGCTTTGCTGGACAAATCTTGCAGCTGCACGGAGGATGCTTTCTTGGAAGAGTAGGTGGTTTGGTTCAGAACAATGCTCCGGACTCGGGGTGAATCTGCTCAGGCATCCTCCGTGCTGCTTCCAGTTTCAAACAAATCGCCCTTGGTGCAAACAGCTAGATTTGCCACGTTGCTCCAGGAGCTCTGCTCTGCTTTTGGGACACAAAGCACCCATAAACGTGCTCGAGCTGGTGGGGGAAATGTGGTTTTATGGCTCCTTTGTGTCTCCAGGGTGGCTGGGTGAATCTGGTGTGAAATGTTTAAGGCTCCTCTTGCCTCTTATGCCTCTTCTTTCTGCGTTATGTTGCTGGGCAACGTTTTCCTGTTGTGTATAAATCCATCACAGTGCTGAAATCGCAGCAGCAGCTCTCGGGAAAGGGATGCAGCTTAATGGTGTTCTCGTTCAGCCTTGCTTTCTGACATCTCTGCTGCTGGTTAATGTTAATAATAACACTGCAGTGATCATAGGGAGGGAAGTTCAAAACAACTCTTATTTCTTCTGATACGATGCGGGTGGGAGAAACCTTCACCAGTAGCTGGGAAGCTGTCTTAACATATGCAGTCTGTGCAGCAGAGCTGTGTTTTGGGCAGGTAGCCGCCTGCCTTTTCAGAGGGTAGCTGTTCAACATTTTTCTCCTGCAAGAGAAAAAATTAATTATTAAAAAAAAAAAAAAGGAGGAATCAGCTTCTGTCAAACTTGAAAACAGTCGGTGAAGATGCCAAAGCTGCGCAGTGGCTGCAGAACCCAAAGGGTTGGATTGCTGGAGTGTTGGCTGGCCCTTGCTGGTGCAGGAGCTGCTCTGCCAAGACCCTGCTGGTAGAGCCGCAGTGGGGAGCTGGCCTGGCTGAGCTCGAGAAGGCATCCCTGCCCTCCTTTGAGGTACTTACAGTCTCTGTTTTCCTTTCTTTCCCAGGGCCTCAGAACGGCTGGAACGACCCTCCTGCCCTGAACAGAGCTTCCAAGAAGAAGAAGGTACTCGAGGAACTCCTATCTTGGCACAATTAAGTGCTGACCGCTTGAAAAGGAGTAACTTAAACTGCTCCTGGGAAACTTGTTGGCAGGGGAAGGAAAAAGAAGGGCTAGCAGCGAACAAAAACTGCACCTTGTGAGCAGAAGTGGCCTTCGTGCCTCACCAGTATGCATTGTCTCTCTCAAAATATTTAAGCCTCTAAAGAGATGGCAGCTTTTTGCTAAAGTTGTGGTTGTTAATAACGTCATTGATCCTGGTTTGAGGGAAGAAAATACCTCGGACTGTTCTCATCTGCAGTAAAGCAGATGAGTTTTGCAGGAGATAACTCACGTGAAATGACAAGGCCATGTAAATTGTTATAGATTACTGACTTTGCTGGAGCGGAAAGCAATTTATCCTGATTACGGGCCTGACCCTGAGAGATCTCAGAGTAAGACAATTTTTGTGCTGGAGACAATGTAGTTTTGTAAAACGGATTTAGGTTGCAGCAGGCCAGAATAACTGGGGATGCTTGCCACAGAGTGGAGAGAGCCTTTTCCTCCCCTGGTGCTGCTTCAGTCTTTCATATCTCCACAGTAGTCTGCATCAGCTGCTGCTCTCTGAGCCTGGTGCATTCGGGAAGCAAGAGTCAGTCTGGAGTCTGTAAAGTGTGGGGAGAAAATAAAAATTTGGAGGAGGCAAGATAGGGTCTGGGTGAAGGTGAGGCAGAAGTCTCCCTTAACCTTTGGGGTTTGATCTGTGCAGTTCAAGCTGAAAAAGCTTTTGGAGGATGGATAGGGGATTCTCTGTGTGCTACTGTTGGCCCCAGTGCTGGGATGTTCGTCGCACAGGAGCTGGCATGCTGCCTTTCAGGGCTTTAGGCTCTTGGGTAGAAGGAGCAAAGTTGTCAGTGAGAATAACTGCTGGACTTGAGAGCTGAAGAAGCAGCCTTCTGGAAACGGGGTTTTTGCCACTCCTGTGAGTGTGTGTGTCACAGCCACAATTTCTGCCATCGCTAGGGCTTGAGGGTTGTCTCTCTTCTAAATGAGTCATGTTTTAACAGGCATTCCCTGTTAAGTATTTAACAAACCTGACAGAAATGTTTCTGTTTGTTTCCCTTATGTCCACTGTATGAGGGGGTAGCTTAGGATATTATAAAATGACTCACCGCATGAGCTGTTGTAAAATAGAAAAACCATCTTGCATGTCAAGGCACGGCATAATTTGCAACTGTTTTCCACCTATGAACTTACCCACCACCCAAAAATTTACTGCTATGATTCATTGCTTTTATAACTGGTTTTGTTGGTGCTGTATTGGGAATATTTTTCTTGCTGTCCCAAACCACTAGCTTAATTCTGGAATAATTCATTCAGGGGAGCTTTCAGGGTTCTGTAATCTTTCCTTTTTTTCTGTGCACACCCAAAGAAAGGTGCACAGTCCTATGGGAGCTCTTTCTTTTGTTTGGATTCCTGTATGACACATAGAAGAGGTCAGTAGCTCATTTTCTTGTTTCTTCCCTCTACTGAATGGTTTCCAAAATGACCCTCTGTAAAGACTGGTGGATGGTTAGGGATGAATCTGAAGTGTGCTTGTTATCTCTCTTAATACAAACCTGTTTGCCAGAAGCTTGCAAGGCTTTTGGAAGCTTTGTTGGTGCGTGTTTCTAGCAGTGAGCTATCTACTGCATGGACAGAAATGTACCCTTGAAAGTAAGACACACAAATCTAAATAGAATGACCCAATAGTAAGAACAGATGTAGATGTGGGTTAGTTTTCATTAGTGCACTGTTCTTCAGTTAGTCAGGGAGGGATAGATTATTTGGGTTCTGGAGCAGAATGGTGGAGTCAGCATCCCTGGAGGGGTTCAAGAAACGTGTAGATGTGGTGCTTTGGGACATGGGTTAGTGGGTTGGGTGGGGTTGGGTTGACGGTTGGACTTGATGATCCCTGAGGTCTTTGCCAACCTGAATGATTCCAGGATTGTAGTGCTGGTCTAACAAATCTCTGGTTTGTGCCTTCAGCAGAAGGGGGAGAGCGGCTCTGATGTGAGGCTGCTGCACTCACTCCTGTGCTGGCTCAGGCTGGGCAGACTGCTCCTGCCCTGTGCAGGCAGGAGGCCAGGCAGAGCACACAGGGCTGGAAACACTGGAGGGTATTGCTGCCCCAGGGCGCTTCTTACCATGCAGTTACATCCAGAAGAATGGGTTTGCTTAGTCAGAGTGAAATATTACCTGCCCCTGGGGGCTCGGCACTGTGCTGAGCAGAGCTCACAAGTGCTGTGGGTTGGGACATCTGTAGGAGCTGAGCATTGTGCTTTGCCTGCGGCAGCCACACTAACATAAATACACTGTTTGTTTGGGTTTTTTTCCCCCAGGTCCCTGATAACTTCTTGCCCCCAGTTCCCATCATGTCACCCATCATGAACCCACTACCGGATCCGCAGTCTCAGATGCAGCAGCCTCCGGCTCCAGCACCACTCCCAGGCATGCCCAGCTTTCAGCCCGCGCCCGTCCCCGCGGGGCAGCCAGTGCTGCAGGGTACCTACCCGCCTGCTCCCCAGCCCCTGGGGCAGTGCATCATGCCACCCGCTGTCTCCAAACCCAGCACGGAGGGTGCCCCTGGAGCCCCAATCGGCAATGCCATCCAGGTAATGTAGCCCCAGCATTGCACAGTTGTGGTTGGTACATCAGTGGAGCCTTGCAGTGTGCGACCCTGTTGGCCAGGTATTTCTTGTACCTCCAAAGTGCACTGCAGCATTTTCAGTCACTAGCTTTCTGCTGCCATGACAAAGGACAGAGAGGCCAG